GAAGGAACAGTTACATGAGTTGTTGGATAAGGGTTTCATACGACTCAGTGTATCGCCTTGGGGAGACCTTGTTCTATTTTTCAAGAAGAAGATGGATCCCTGTGTCTGTGTATAAACTATAGAGAGCTGAACAAGATCACCATAAAGAATAAGTACCCCCTCCCGAGAATCGACGACTTGTTTGATCAATTACAGGGAGCAACGATTTTCTCCAAAATTGACTTGAGGTTAGGGTATCATCAATTGAGGATAAGAGAAGAAGATATACCCAAAATGGCCTTTAGAAGTCGCTATGGACATTATGAGTTTCTCGTCATGTCCTTTGGTCTTACCAATGCACCAGCAGTCTTCATGAAACTAATGAACAAGGTGCTTAAGGAATTCTTAGACACTTTTATTATAGTGTTTGTTGATGACATTCTTGTGTACTCTAAGTCAGAGGCAGAGCACGAAGAGCATTTAAGGAAAGGTTTGACCATACTCAGAAACCAACGACTGTACGCCAAGTTTTCTAAGTGCGAGTTTTGGCTATCGAATGTAGCATTTTTGGGTCATGTAGTGTCAAGTAGAAGAATCACAGTGGACCCAACTAAGATAGAGGCAGTGATGAAGTGGCCAAGGCCGACCATAGTCACTGAAGTACAGATTTTTCTACGACTAGCTGAATATTACGGATGGTTTGTCCAGGATTTCTCCAAAATATCTTCAACGCTAACTTAGTTAACAAAGAAGAGCAAGCCTTTTGTATGGACATCATCTTGTGTATAGAGTTTCCAGGAACTCAAGGAGAGGTTGGTGACAACACTAGTCCTCACAGTTCCAGATGGATTAGGAAATCTAGTGGTGTACAACGATGCATCAGGAAAAGATCTAGGGTGCGTGCTCATGCAGAAGGGTAAGTTGATAACTTATGCTTCTAGACAACTGAAGAAATATGAATGAAATTATCCCACTCATGACCTCGAGTTAGCAGTAGTGGTGTTTGCACTGAAAACAAGGCGACATTATCTATATGGAGAGAAGATCCAAGTATTCACTTATCATAAGAGCCTCAAGTACCTATTTACACAAAAGGAGCTTAATATGAGACAGAGAAGATAGTTGAAACTAGTAAAAAATTATGACATCGAGATCCTGTACCATCAAGGCAAGGCCAATGTTGTGGCAGACGCATTGAGCAGAAAGGTTGTTCATACTTCCGCGATAATCACCAAATAGAAAAGTGTTGGGTTTTATGTCCTAAAACTCATAGTTTGTAAACAAAAACATATTCTATTTTCAATTAAGTTATTATTAATGTTTATTAAGTAAAAATTGTTATTGAATAAAGTGAATTTTATGATTATTAATCTAAATCCAATAAACTAAGAACACTTTGACTATAGTATGATTACTTGAACTATATGTAGAGACATAAGAGTGGATCAAGTTCAAATATATAATCAAAATGATCTATAGTACAGGGATAAGGCTGAGTACCTTATTCTGGGACACTATGGATGCGGCTCAATTTTCTATATGACATAAACAATGTGATCAATAAATTGTACATGCGGAGACATGTGAGTGGGGGCGTCCTATACAATAAGTATTGCATAAGATCGGAGTATAAAGAAAATCACTCTCACTTTATAATGTCGTTTACTGATGAGACTGATTTTCTTTTCATTCGATGACCTAGGTAACTCAATCTTAATCCTAAGCTAACCATGAACTCCTGTTTATTCAGAATTATCCTTAGATTTGCATGGGTGAGTGTGGCTCGAGTTCACCGACTCAATAGGCCTCCCATTTCAGAGGTAAGACTTGGTGAATGGCTGGGGACGTGGGGTGCAAGATGGAATTCACTCCTACCCGCTTTTAGGAATAGTAGAGAGGTTGTTCCCTTAAGTACTGGCTCCAAGTCTTGAACAAGGGGCCTCACCCTCTCATTGGCTCGAGAGGGATTCGGTTTGGTGGTTGGACCACAAACCAATTGTTCATTAGAGGATCAGTGGGACTCAAGGAACAAGAAGTAACTTCAGGGGTAAAACGGTAAATTGACCCAGCTCTAGTTACGAACAACCTGTGAATGATCGACTTACTAATCATGGTTATATCAAATGGACATAAATATATCTATAGTGAGGGAGTGCAACTACTAGGCTATAGTCGAGTGTCCTAGTAGTTAACGAATGTTGGTTAACAAGGTTAATGAGTTTAACCGGTTAATCTTGGATCATTGGAGCCCATGATCTGTAGGTCCATTAGGTTCCTCTGCTAGCTCATATCGGACTAAACCATAGAACAGTGTGACGAGTGAGTTCGAAGTGTTTGAATTCAAATTAGGGAATATGCGCTACATATATACGATATATTTAATCGCATTTTTGTTTTATTTATGAATTAAACAAAAAGAGAGAATATGAGATATTTAAATAAGATTTAAATATTTTAATCAAATATGTGATGGAATTGATTGGGATTGACATTTGAATTAATATTAAATATTAATTAAATAGTTTAATTAATCATTTAATCTTAATTTAATTTGAAATTAATTATTCAAATTAATTGTTGAATTAAAATGAAGAAAGTCAAAATGTTGACTTCATTTAATCGAAAAATTCATGTTTGAGTTAGCGGAATTTTGATGTGTCAAAATTTGGTTTAACCAAACTTACATGCTTGCCAAATAAGCCCCACAAATTTGAGTGAAATTTTGAGTTTTAAAATTTGGTTAACTCAAACTTGCATAGTGTCCCGAGTTCATTCGATGACCTAGGTAATGTCGTTTACTATTGAGACTGATTTTTTCATTCGATGACCTAGGTAACTCGATCTTAATCCTAAGCTAACTATGAACTCCTATTTATTCGGAATTATCCTTAAATTTGCATGGGTGAGAGTGGCCCGAGTTCCCCGATTCAATAAGCCTCCCATTTCAAGGGTAAGACTGGGTGAATAGCTGGGGACATAGGGTGTAAGATGAAATTCACTCCTACCCGCTTTTAGGGATAGTAGAGAGGTTGTTCCCTTAAGTACTGACTCCTAGTCTTGAACAAGGGGCCCCACCCTCTCATTGGCTCGAGAGGGATACGGTTTGGTGGTTGGACCACAAACCAATTGTTCATTAGAGGATTAGTGGGACTTAAGGAACAAGAAGTAACTTTAGGGGTAAAACGATAAATTGACCCAGCTCTAGTTACAAACAACTTGTGAATGATGGACTTTCTAATCATTGTTATATCAAATGGATAGAAATATATCTATAGTGAGGGGAGTGCAACTACTAGGCTATAGTGGAGTGTCCTAGTACTTAACAAATAATGTGTAGGTCCATTAGGTCCCCCTGCTAGCTCATATCAGACTAAACCTTAGAACAGGGTGGCGAGTGAGTTCAAAATGTTCAAATTTCAAATTAGGGAACATACGTTAAATATATACGATATATTTAACCGCATTTGTTTTAATTATGAATTAAACAAAAAAAGAGAATCGGAGATATTTAAATAAGATTTAAATATTTTAGTTATGAATAGGGATTCATAATCAATATGTGCCGGAATTGATTGGGATTGACAAATCAAATGTTAAATATTTATTAAATTGTTTAATTAATCATTTAATATTATTTTGATTTGAAATTCATTATTTAAATTAATTGTTCAATTAAAATAAAGAAAGTCAAAATGTAATGGAAAAATCCATGTTTGAGTTAGTAGAATATTGAGTGTCAATATATGGTTTAATCACACTTGCATGTTTGCCACATAATCCTCACAGATTTGAGTGGAATTTTGATTGTCAAAATTTGGTTTAACCAAACTTGTATGTTTGCCAAATAAACCCCACAAAGTTGAGTGGAATTTTGAGTGTCAAAATTTGGTTAACTCAAACTTGCATACTTGCCACTAGTGGTGGTTCGAAACTGGTTCGTGATGAAAAAGAAATTTGAATTACAAAAGGTTAGTATTCAAACTCATTGAGTTTTAATGCTTTTGAACATGCTAGCTAATTTAATATAATTGATGTACTTAGAGTGCCTAAGATCCAAATTGCTTCCGCACGTGTCATAGTAACACCATCACATGATACTTCTTACACGTTCCACCATGGAAGTACAAAGATGTGTCAGGATCTTAAGGGATGTTATTGGTGGTCAAGGATGAAAAAGGACATAACAGTTTTCGTAAGCCGATGCTTGACCTGTCAACAGGTGAAGGCTCCAAGACAGCACCCAACAGGACTACTACATCCCTTAAAGGTCCCTTAGTGGAAATGGGAAGCAGTTTGTATGGATTTTATCTCGGGTTTGCCCAAGACCAAGTAGAGTTTCAATGTAATATGGATAGTTGTTGACAGACTTACCAAGGTGGTTCACATCATCCCAGGAAAATCCACATATCATATGGATCGGTGGGCTCAATTGTATATCAGTCCATAGTATCTAATCGGGACACTAGGTTCACCTCTCAGTTTTGGAAAAGTTTTCAAAAAGCATTGGGAACTCAGTTGAGGTTTAGTACAACATTTCATCCTCAGACAAACGGACAGACCGAAAGACTGAACCAAATCTTAGAAGTTATGTTGCGAGCCTGTGTCATGGATTTTGCTGGGTGCTGAGATGAATTGTTAAATAAATCTGACTAATTTGTAAAATAAATCTCACACACATTAACGATAGAACGCTTTGTTACCAATTTGTGAAAATACTACTCGCGTATTTGTGAAGGAGTGGTCGAGGGTGGAGAGACAAAGAGACAAAAGAACACTGAATTTATCAAAAAAAAAAAAAAATGTTTGCTATTACTTCTAGCCACCCATAAACATGCCATTATTAGTATAATGGCTCTTGGCCTTTTCTTTCACCCTCTCCAACTAAACTCTCCAACAAATTAACTAAAATTGGCATTTAGCATTTAAAGTTTATTCACTCAAACTCCCCTATAAACTTAAATGCTATATTGAACGACTCCACCTGTGCCATTTTCGTTTTCTTGAGCTTAGTCATGGCTTCTTCAATTTCCTCTCCTTGTCCTCGAACACCAAACTAAGCTTATCCTTTTCTGATGAAACTTTATTTGGAGCTTCTCGAAAACAGCCCATTTGAGACACAACTCCTTATTTCTCTCGTTCTCAGCCACGCTCGACTCAATCAAAGACGTCATAGCTTCTTTCAGTTTACTCAATTCTCTTCGCAAGTCAACAACGACATTTTTCACTTCCACTTTTGCCTCCTCCATTTCAGCTATATCACGAGTGATTATCTCAATCGTAAGCTCACTGCCTCCTGTTGGACTCGATTCAAATTCACATCAAGTGAGTCTCTCTATTGAGTTAGCATCTCTACATCTTTCTCCTCCCTCACAAGCTCTTCCACTGAACCATCAATCTCCATTAATAAGTCATTCTCTTTCTCCACATCTTCTACAATTTTCTTCACAAGCTTAAAAATTTCCTTTCCATTCTCTTCCTTCTTCTATTTGAGATAGAAAGAACTCTCACTCAGCTCAGTCAGTTTCTTCTCTAACCTTTCAATCAACATTTCTAAAGCTTTCTTTTCTTTTTCAATCTCTACTTTCTCCTTCGAAAGGTGCTCGTTCAACGATTTCAACGTCTGCAACTGAGACTTCTCCACAGATTTATCCATGGCAGTTTTGAGTTGTTACACTGAATCTCAGTTCTCCTCCTGATGATCCGACAGTTTCTTTGGCTCTTTCGCTGATCGCGTGTTCAATCCAGAGTCCTTCGATTTTCTCGTCTCCGATATCGCGATTTCGCCAAATTCGCTGCTTATCACCTCATTTTCAACGACTTCCATTGCCTTACGACTACTGCCATCGTCTTTCGCACGCCGTGTTCTTTTGCTTTCAGATCTTCATTTTGGGCCATCAAGAGAACACCTTCGTTTGTTGCGTCATCCAAGACTAGTTTGATTGTTTCTTCCACCTTTTTATCGGCTCGACAATCTCTTGCGAAACGCCCCACTCTGCCAAAATTGTAACATTTGTCGGAGTTACAATCATTCGCATAGTGACCATATTTTTTACGTTTGTAGCACTGAATGTTGGAATAAATTGATCGGTCGCCTCTTCCTCGACTACGTTCTCTTCCACACCAATTTGCTTGGCTCGATTGTCCCTTCTCCTTATAAACTTACTCCAACATTCAGTGCTACAAATGTCACAAGTTTGGTCACTATGCAAATAATTGTAACTCCAACAAATGTTACAATTGTGGTAGAGTGGGACATTTTGCAAAAGATTGTCGAGCCGATAAAAAGGTGGAAGGAACAACCGACCAACCTTGGAAGACGTAACAAATGAAGGTCTTTTCTTGATGGCTCAAAATGAAGACAACATCAACAACGACACTCTGTGGTACCTCGACTCAGGGGCAAGCAACCATAAGTGTGGTCACGAGTTCCTATTCAAAGAGATTTAAAAGATTGAAGATGGTCATGTGTCATTTGGAAATGCGTCAAAGGTGATGGTCAAAGGCCGAGGTACGATACATTTCTTGCAAAACGATGGTTTAATGGGGTCAATCCAAGATGTTTATTACGTACCAGACCTCAAGACCAACATATTAAGTATGGGGCAACTCACAGAAAAAAGTTACTCGATATTCTTAAAAGACTGTCTGCTACACCTGAAGGACAAGTAAGGGCGTTTGGTTGCTCGAGTCAAGATAGGAAGAATTCAGATGTACAAACTGAATTTAAGAAGCATACAAGAAAATTGTTTGCGAGTAGACGTAGAAGGCAAGGCATCACTGTGGCATCACCACTTTGGTCACCTGCATCATGGCGGCCTAAAAGAGTTGGCAAAGAAGAATATGGTGCATGGGCTACCCAACATGGATTTTAAAGGAAAATTTTGTGAAGAATGCATGGTCAGCAAGCATGCGAGAACCTCAATTCAAAAGAGGGCTAAATTTTGGGCTAAACAACCTCTCGAGTTGATTCATACAGATATATGTGGACCAATTACCCATTAGTCTTTCAGCGAAAAGAGGTATTTCATTTCCTTTATCGATGATTACTCACGAAAAATTTGGGCTTACTTTCTAAAAGAAAAATCTAAGGCATTCGAGGTGTTCAAAAAGTTCAAAGTGATGGTGGAGAAGGAAACTGGTAGACACATCAAAGTTGTACGATCCGATAGAGGTGACGAGTATAATTCGACGACTTTCATGGAGTATTGCGAGGAGCAAGGCATAAGGTGATTTTTAACTGCAACATACACCCCTCAACAAAATGGTGTGGCCGAGAGAAATTGTTGGCTTTTTGGCACTTAATCTCAAATCAATTAATTTTAATCAATTAATTAATTGATGTTTTGATGATAACAAACCTACCTTCAATTATTGAAAATTCTCAATATTTTTCTCGAGAGTGTAAGGTTGGGAATAACGATTTCAACGTCTTTTTTGGTTCACTCAAATTAGAGATAAAACGAAGAAGTTCGAGTTAAAACAAATACTCGACTTGATGATGTGGTGGCAAAATTGACATCATGGACCAATCAAATTTAAAACAAGATACCTGACGTGATGATATGGTGACAAAATTGATGATGTGGTGAAAAAATTGACATCATGGACCAGCGACAAAATTAACATTATAGACCAATTGAAGTATGACATTTATAAATTTGGTAGAGTAACAAAGGGTGGAGTTTTCAATTACATTTATAAAAGTTTTCCGAGGAGTATTTGAATTATAAAATTATTTCAATTAAATTTATAAAAGTTTTGGGTTACTTTTAAATAGAAAGAAATTATAATGATTTCATTTACAAAACTAGTGGTTACTTTTAAATGGAAAGAAATTATAAAGATTTCATTTACCTTTATGAAAACTTTTTTAAAAAGAAAATTATTTCAATTACATGTATAATGATTTCAATTAGATTGATAAAACTTTTCAATTACTTTTTTTTATTATATTATTATATTTCAATATGTGATATATATATATATAATAAAAATGAATTTAAAATGTTTTTAATATTTATTTAAAATAATATATACATATATATATATATTATATATATTTAAATTTAAATGAAACATGTGGTCTATAATTTTTTTACTATAAATTTAAAAATAAATAAATATTATTTTTCGTGGTCCACATTTCGGTTCACGTTTTAGTGGTTCGTATCAATTCCTATTTTTAGGACTTGATCGCTATTTAAACTCATCATCTCTCCTTATTTTTCACAATACAACACAAAACATTTGTTTCCTCGATCTAAATTTTTTTAAAAGCCCACATTTGTTTCCTCGCTCTAAATTTTTTTAAAAGCCCATTGTTTCCCTCTTCAAAGCTTCCACTTCCACTTCAAAGCTTCCAATTCTATTTCTTTCTCATAAAAGAGATGTCTATTACTTCAGAGTGTTGTGGTGTGTTTCTATAAGATTTCAGACAATTGTACTGGTTTGATCCTGAACCATGGAAAGGATTGAGTTTGTTCTGGAAATCGTAAAAAGAGCTGTGTACCGGTTTGATCCTGAGCCGTGGAAAGAATTGTATTGGAAAGTTGAGTGGTTTAGTCAAACTCGACCTACTCCACTCCCCAAGCACCTCTTGGGAATTTGAATAAAATTTTATGACTCTTTCCTCGGATCAGAGCCCAATTGCTACACTTTTACGAGTGCAAGTGCAAACTCAATCCTTTCCACGACTCAGGATCAAACCGGTACACCGCTCTTTTTACGAGTTCCAAGAGCAAACTCAATCCTTGCCATGGCTCAGTTACGAGTTCAAGAGCAAACTCAATCCTTGCCATGGCTCAGTTACGAGTACAAGAGCAAACTCAATTCTTTCCATGGCTCAGAATCAAACCAGTACAATTGTCTGAAATCTTATAGAAACACACCACAACACTCTTGAAGTAATAGACATCTCTCTTCTTCTAAAAAAAGAAAGAAATAGAATTGAAAAGAGCAATAATGGAGGCTTTTAAAAAAATTTAGATCGAAAACAAATGTTCTGTGTGTTGTGAAAAATATGAAGAGATCATGAGTTTAAGAAAGAAATAGAATTGAAAGCTTTGGAGAGAGCAACCATGGAGGCTTTTAAAAAAATTTAGATCACGAAACAAATGTTCTGAAAATATGGAGAGATCATGAGTTTAAATAGCGACCAAGTTGTAAAAATAGGAATTGATACGGACCACTCAAACGTGAACCGAAATGTGGACCATGAAAAATCTATAAAAAATTATAGACCACGTGTTTCATTTAAATTTAAGTATATATATATATATTATTTTAAATAAATATTAAAAACATTTTAAATTCATTTTTATTATATATATATATATATATATAACATATTAAAATATAATAATATAATAAAAAAAATGTTAATGAAAACATTGTGGGTAACATTTTAAATTGTAATTGAAAAGTTTTATAAATCTAATTGAAATCATTATAAATGTAATTGAAATGATTTTGTAATTCAAATAATTATTTTTTTCGAAACTAGTTTTGAATGAAATCATTATAATTTCTTTCAGGGTAAAAGTAACAAATTAGTTTTCATAAATGTAAATGAAATCATTATAATTTCTTTCCATTTAAAATAACCGAAAACTTCTATAAATATAATTGAAATGATTTTATAATTCAAATACTTCTTTTTTAATTTAAAAGTAATAGAAAACTTTTATAAATGTAATTGAAAACTCCACCATTTGTTACTTTACAAATTTATAAATGTCATACTTCGATTGGTCTATGATGTCAATTTTGTCGCTGGTCCATAATATCAATTTTGTCACCACATCATCACGTCAGGTATCTTGTTTTGAATTTGATTGGCCCATGATGTCAATTTTGCCACCACATCATCACATCAGGTATTTGTTTTGACTGGAACTTCTTTGTTTTATCTCTAATTTGAGTGAACCAAAAAATACGTTGAAATCGTTATTCCCAACCTTACACCGTGGACAAAAATACTGAGAATTGTTAATAATTGAAGATAGGTTTGTTATCATCAAAACATCAATTAATTAATTAATTAAAATTAATTAATTTGAGAATTTGCTAATACTGCTTGTTACTTAGAATTTGCTAATACTGAGAATTTGCTAATACTGAGAATTTGCTAGATCAATGTTAAATGAATATGATTTACCTAAATATTTTTGGGTGGAAGCGGTTAATACTGCTTGTTATGTTTCAAATAAAGTTGCTGTTAATACAGCTTGTTATGTTTCAAATAGAGTTTTAATTAGACCTTGTCTAGATAAAACTCCTTGTGAACTTTGGCATAATAAAATTCCAAATATTGGGTATTTCAAAGTTTTTGGTTGCAAATGTTTTATTTTGAACCACAAAGAAAAGCTGGGAAAATTTGATTCTAAGACGGATATTGGTATTTTTCTTGGTTATTCATCAATTAGTAAAGCTTATAGAGTTTTTCATAAGAGAACTTTAGTTATAAGAAGAATCTATGCATGTAGTATTTGATGAATCTTGCCATGATATTTCTAACGAGTCTTTTGTAGGGATGATTTATAAAGAAATTTTGGAGATTTATCGTCATTGACAAAGGAAATGAAACTCTTTCAAGTAAAGAAGAAGTGAGCTTAAATGAAAAGAAGGAAGAAAGTTCTTCATTAGTTCCAAAAG